TCTCTCTGTGTCTCTCTCTCTCTCTCTCTATCTATCTATCTATCTATCTATCTATCTATCTATCTATCTATCTATCTTTCTTTCTTTCTAATGCATGTTTTTCTCAAATCCGTGCATGATGTTGTCTTAAAAAAAACACTTAGTCCATCGCCATCGCCACACCACTCTCAAAATATGCAAAATGAGAATGAACTTCGTGCTTTGACATTTCGAGAGTGGTGTGGCGATACCCTAACACAAAGACCCAGGATCTTGGCAGTACCCGTCCCCCCCCTTTTTTTTTTAATGTTACTATACTGTCATTACGACTTCTTTTGCGGGGGGGTGTAGCAGGGATATTTCCTGACTTGTGCTGGGTCGGGCCGCCCGGGGAACCAAGGCGACCTGGGAGGCTCTATTAGCTTCTCAGAGCGACACTAGTTCAAGTGGCATCCTTTGAGATGAAAAACATACTTACCCTCCCTTTTTTTTAGACTAATCTTGATTTTTCTCTCACAGTACCTCTTACCAAGTACCTACAGAGAAGATTAGCATTGATATTGCTGAAGGAAAATTTGGGCTCTGCCAAAGAATGACGCACATATTTAACTACCTACCTACTACTACTCCTTAACGGTATAGAGGGGGTCTCTGCAATTATAGCTACCACCCAATCAAGCAATTGTATGTTCCCCTTGTCAGTGTTGCAACCGCCGTTGGAGGCCTAACTAACACAAAAACGAAGGATTTCGCGAGTAACCATTAGTTGTGCTTCTCTTTTCATCTAGTCCACCCTATTGAGTAATAGAAGTGTCAAAGGCCGATACTCTCCTTCCATTGTTCTTCTTTTTTAAGTTGCTTTTTTTTTTTTTTTTTTTTTTTAAGTATAATCATTACAACTTTTTGTCGGGGGAGGCAAGGACTCTCCCTGACCCTTGTTGGGCCGGATTGCGTTGGGAACCAAGGTGCGCCTTCCTGGATGCAAATCTGATCGAAATGGGGCGGGAAGGCATGCATGGAGGGAGGGTAGCCCCCCTCCCCCCCTTCCCCTGAACTTGAATTATGAAAAAGAGGAATGTATATGCTGAACTATTTATTAGAATATATTTTTTTAGTTTTAGAAATCTGCATGAATGTATTTCCGTGTGACTATTTGTTATAGTGTTTTCCTTAAATTAGTAGATACAGTTAGGTAATCATAGTTCAAAGAAAACATTGCAGATTCCTATATACAATTGGCGGTGTGATCTGTGTTTTTTTTCATGCATTTAAAAAATACAAGAAAAATCATTTGTAAATGCAATCCATAATGATATATGTACATTTTTTTGCCATGTGAAAGTAATTGTTGGTTGGGTTTTATGTGTGTTAAAGCACGATACAAATCTGAATCCCAAGGGGGGAGGAGGGGCAGGGTTGAGAACCCTTCTCGGCCCACAACTTGAAAAAAATAAAATAAAAATAAGGAATGCATATACTCAAGAATATTAACTATTTATTAGAATATAATGTTTTAGTTTAAGAAATGCGCAAGAACTTAAAGTTTTCCGATCCCTTAACGATACATGTAGATTTTTTTGCTATGTGAACGTTGTTGTCAATTGGGTTTTGTTTGTCGTGAAGCAAGATATGGATCCAAGTTCGAAGAAATATACATGAACGTGTTTTCATGTCTGTGTTAAAGTATTCTTCAAGTGCAGTTGGGAAACATCACGATAGTTCATAGGCCATTATAGATTACTATGTTGAATCGGGGGTGTAACCTTTATTTTGTCACTCATTTAAAAAAAAACAAGAAATTTGCAATTCATAAACGATCACTGTACATTTTTTGCCTGGTAAAAGTAACTATTGGTTAGGTTTTGTATATCATGAAGAAAAATATGCATCCAAGTCTGATATGGGGTAGAAGGGGGGCGTAGCTCTTCGTTACCTCAATTTATGAAAGAAAAAAAAAACTATATTTTGAACTATTTATTAAATTACCGCTTGTGGTGCACGCGGTGCAGGTTACGCCGCATACAAGAACCCGACAAAGATCAGTCAAAGTACTTACACAGACTCAAATGGACATATAAAGCACAACATACTCAACATGTACTTTGACCACGTCGTCTTAGTTACTTTGAGCTTGTTATGAACTTATGAGTAAATTAAATGTGGTGTGTTCTTTATGTCCGCATGAGTCTGTGTGATTACTTTGTTGTGTTTTTTTCTTTGGGCGTAGTTTGCACCGCCCGCACCACGGGTGCTAAGCTAGTATATATATATATATATATACAGGGTTACCGGCGTTCGGGACGGGGCGAACGTCCGAACCCGAACGCCCGGGACCCCTTCGGGAGGCGTACGAGTTTTCAAAAAATTTCGAAAAAAAAACTATGTTATGGAGACAAATAAACTAAACAACATTTGCCAGGGCACTACATCCAAATTCTTTACCAAATTTGAATTAAAAATCAAATACTGAAAATAAACACTATGATAAAAATAAAAACAAATAAAAAGAGAATTAAAATGAGTGAGTGTGCCAGCACCTTTTCGACACCGCCATCTTTGCCGATTTTTAATTATTTTTTGGCATTAAAAAATGCCCTGAAACTTTACAGATATGTAGTTTACGTAATCAATAACACATTCAAAAAATTTCAAAAAATAATAAAATTGTTTAGGCCCTGAAATAAAGTGAAAACAAAAAGTTAAAAGTGAAAAAAAACAAAATAGTGAGTGGGCGAGCACGTTTTGACATTCCCATCTTTGACGACTTTTAATGTTTTTTTGGCTTAGCAGAATGGCATCAAAATTTATAGGCGTGTAGGCTACATCAAAGAGAACTCACAAAAACATTTTCAGAAACAAAAACTTATTTTCAGGCCCCAAAATATTTTTTGGCGGGGGCCGAACCTGGAGGTGTTCAGCCCCCGAACGGGACCCCGAACGCCCGAACGTTCGGCGGCCAGCCCGGGGGCCCCCGAATGTTCGGTCAGGTAACCCCATATATATATATATATGTATATATATAGTAGTTGGTATTCTGTTGGGGGTGAATGGGCGAAACCCGAATGCCATAATGTATGGACCCCCCTGTAGACACGTTCGGTCGTTGAAGCCAAATACGGACTCATAAAAAAAAAAAGATCAAAATAGAAAGAAATGTATGTTATGCAAAACAATAAACATACGAACATTTGGCTCATTGTTACATCCAAATTCTTTATTAAATTAAAAAATAATAATAATAATAATAATAAAAAAAATCTATATGTTGGGCGGGCATATTTTAAATACCACAAACTTCGGTGATTTTCATATTTTTTTTGGCTTAGTCAAATGCCCTTAAAAATTACAAATGTGTATCTCACATAATTCAAAGCTCATGAAAAACAATTAAAAAAATAAAAAAATTATTTAGGTCCCGAAATAAATTGAAAACAAAAAGTGAAAAGAAAAAAAGAACAAAATAGTGAATGGGCGAGTGTGTTTTTACACCGCTAGGTTTGGTTATTTTCCATATTTGTTTGGCTTAGCAAAATGCCTTCAGAATTTATAGACAAATATCTTACAACGTAAAGAAATCACTAAAAACAAGTAAAAAAAAAATATTAATTTTAGACTATGAAATATTTTTTTGTGCGGGCCAAACTCCTTCACTTCGGACCCTGTACACGACCCCTAATGCCCGAACGTACGGAGGTCCGCCAGGGGGCTCCGTACGTACGTCGGCTAGAGGTGTTATTTTCGATGAGTTTTGCACCGAAACTGTTACATTATACTGATTTTTTTTTTTTTACTTGCTTTTCTTCTTGTGTGACATATACTTGCTTTAGGGTATGTCATGTGTCCAGTTTTGACATGTTTCGATCAATAGTGAAAAATTTGACATTTCGTTGAATTTGTTGGATGCTTGATTTTAACTCGGACACTGTTTTTATGCAAGGGTTTCATAGTGTTGTTTTGTTTTTTTTTTCATTTTTTTTTTTTTTTTTTTTTTTTTTTTTTTTTTTTTTTTTTTTTTTTTTTTTTTTTTTTTTTTTTTTTTTTTTTTTTAATGTCTGCACTATAGACCCATATTGTTTGTTTTTGAAATTTTCAAAGAATTTCGCACCAAAATTGCTGGTGAAAACGACGAATATTGGACGCCCCGTTAACCATCTCTCATATATATTTATGTTACCTGTAGAGGACGATAGCAACAGCATCATTCAAAACAGATTCTCCAAATACGAGTGCATAAAGGTCTGGATCAGCACCTAATTCCTGTAAGGAAAAATGCCAAAGGAGGGAAATACAAAGTAGAGTCCATATAGCGACCACACCTCCCTCCCACCCTCCATGACCACTCGTCCAAAAGAAAAGAGAAAGAAAAGACGTTAGAATAGACACCTTCAAGCCATGTGAAAAACTTTTAGCAAACTCACCAATTGAATGAGCGTTGGCGGTTGACGACATGAATGATATACACCGTAGAGATCAAGATACAAGATATATATATTACATAGAGTATCAGAAGCAAAATTTGTGCAACAAGTCAAATTTGTCATGTTTGGGTTGCAGTTTTATAACCAGTGTTTGTTAGCTTTGGCTTAAGTAAAGCCTTGTCACCCGAATGGGTTAAATGATTTTTGCCATCCTAATTAACCAGTTGATTCTAGCCGAGTGTGACGGAGTCGTCAGAAGAGAGAGTGGGAAGGGGGTTGATGTTGATGTTGTTGCTGCTAATGTTGCTGCTGATAATGATGCTGTTGCATCTGCTAATAAGTAAACTGAGTACTTGACGACTGCTGGTGCTGGAACTGTTGTCCAGTCTCGGCCAAGGGCCGGTTCGGAACTAACAACTTTTAAGCGCAACTTTGGGAGGTAAAAAACCAGACATCACTAAATAGAGAATATGAGGTCCTGGACTTGGCATGCCGCATGTCCTAGGTATAGGTAGATGGTCTGCAAAAGCCTTGGTCCATCTGAGTCAATTTTCCAACAAAAATGGAAAACGGACCTCCTCGAATTGTTCGCTTAGAACCACAAGCGAAGCCAAAAATGGGCAACTAGGGGCAAACGACAACAGAATGAGACCTTAATTTAGGATTGTCATCTCTTGGATAGGTACAGACGGTCTGCAAAGTTACAGACCCAGTTGACGTCGTTTAGGGCAGCAAACAAAAATTTGAGTTTTTCACTCCTCCAATAATAGAAATCAACAAATATGAAAAATGTGAGTTTTTCGCAAGTAAGAATTTTATGAGAATTCAAGCCATGGAAACGACGGGACCGATATTTAAAAGTAGGGAGGCACCATAGTCAACCACCTCACACCTTCTTCATCTTCCACCTCCATCATTCATCCGCCATAGCTTACCGACTCACAAATTCTTCTTCTTCAACCTCCATCACTCATCCACCATAGCCAACCACCTCACACCTTCTCTTCTTCCCCCACCTCCATCACTCGTCCACCATAGTCAGCCACCTCACGTCTTCTTCTTCCTCCCGCACCACCCATCCACCATAGCCAACCACCTCACACCTTATTATTATTCCTGCTCCACCACTCATCCATCATTGCCAATCACCCCACACCTTCTTCTTCCTCCTTCACCACTCATCCTCCATAACCTACCACCTCACACCTTCTTCTTCTTCCACCCCCATCACTCATCCGCCATAGCCAACCACCTCACACCTTCCTCTTCTTCAACCTCCATCACTCATCCACCATAAAGAACCACCTCGCACCTTCTTCTTCTTCTTCAATCTCCATCACTCATCCACCATAGCCAACCACCTCACGCCTTCTTCTTCTTCTTCCTCCACCACTCATCCACCATAGCCAACCACCTCATACCTTCTCCTTTTTTCACCTCAATTATTCGTCCACCATAGCCAAGTTAAGCCAATCTCCTCAGAACACCTTCCTCCTCCACCGCCATCCAAGCGCCGCCGCGTCCAAAGAAATGTGGGACTGCAAGACATAGTGGGGACCCTTAGGTGGGACGGTAAAGAAGTAAGAGTTGAGCTTTGATTAGACATAACAAAATTTTCTTTCTCTCTCTCTTTCTCTCTCTCTCTCTCTCTCTCTCTCTCTCT